CCCCCAAAGCTGTTCTGCTGCTTTGCCTGTAGCAGAACTCGGGGACAGTTGTGCAGCACAAATCCAGGGGAGATTCCAGAGGGAGGGAATTCTGTGAGGGTGCAGAGACAGAGGAGTTTTGCCTGGAGGGCTGAGGCACAGTTGGTGTCCATGAAGACAATCCCAGAAGCTGCAGAGTGTTGGGATGAGGAGCAGCTGGGATTGAGGAATGCCCAGCTCCCTGCTCTCACAAGGGGGCACGGTCACTGTGTGCCCCCAGCTGCCTCTGGTCCCTGGCAGGGCCTCCTGGGTGTTTTAAACTGCTCAAAATAGCATCTTCATGGAATGGCATTATTTTACTCAAAGCCAGTCTGCTTTTTAGTGACTCTATTTAAATGTTAAATCATTTCACTTCATGATTTCGCAGCAAAACCTGAACCCTTCCAGCAGCTGGAAGGAACTGGTGCCAGTGACTGAGCCCATGGGGAAATCCCTTCTTGCCTGTGTCCTCTGTAGCTGGAGAGAATGAACCCTCCAGAGTCCTTTGGGACAGTTTGAGAAGGGATCTGAGGAACCAGAAGTGAAACCAGGAGATTTTATCCTGGAGGTTGCACATTCCCCACATGCAGAGCTTACAGAGCTTCTGTGGAATAAAAGAACAGCTCTGGAAGGAAGAGGAATAGGAGTGTCTCCTTTGTCAGGTCCAGATTTTTAAGTATCCACTTCTTGTTAATCATTTGTGTCTTGGAGATACATCCTGGAGATGCAATTCCCTGACTTGTCAGCATTCCCACCATTTCCAGGAACTGCTGCCAGGAGCTCTTTGCATCTGTGGGGTCACACAAGAGGCACAGCAGAGGTGTCAGGTCCTGCTGCCATTCCAGGGGTGCTGGCAGGGAACCGCCTGGGCTGGTTTCACCAATAAAAGTCCCAAATTCTTGGGATAAAGATGTTTTTTGTCCTTGTAGGGCCATTATGACCCACGCCTCTGTGCCTGAGGAGGTAAGGGAAAAGCTGGGAATCACTGACACCTTGATCCGCCTCTCGGTGGGGCTGGAGGATGAGGAGGATTTGCTGGCAGACCTGGACCAGGCCCTGAAGGCTGCGGTGAGTGGGGAGCTCCCTCCAACAACAATCCAACAGCAATCCCAGCCAGCCTTTCCCAGGGGCTGAGCCTGAGGGACCCTGGGCTGGGGATGGAAAACTCCCTGTTTGCAGCCCTGCTCAGGCACAGTCCCCATGGATTCAGGATCAATTGGGGTGTGCCAGGCACAGTTCCCCATGGATTCAGGAGCAGTTGGGGTGTGCCAGGCACAGTTCCCCAGGGATTCAGGAGCAGTTGGGGTGTGCCAGGCACAGTTCCCATGGATTCAGGAGAATTGGGGTGTGCCAGGCACAGTTCCCCAGGGATTCAGGAGAATTGGGGTGTGCCAGGCACAGTTCCCATGGATTCAGGATCAATTGGGGTGTGCCAGGCACAGTTCCCCATGGATTCAGGAGCAGTTGGGGTGTGCCAGGCACAGTCCCCCATGGATTCAGGAGAATTGGGGTGTGTCAGGCACAGTTCCCCAGGGATTCAGGAGCAGTTGGGGTTTGCCAGGCACAGTTCCCCATGGATTCAGGAGAATTGGGGTGTGCCAGGCACAGTTCCCATGGATTCAGGAGCAGTTGGGGTGTGCCAGGCACAGTTCCCATGGATTCAGGAGAATTGGGGTGTGTCAGGCACAGTTCCCCAGGGATTCAGGAGCAGTTGGGGTGTGCCAGGCACAGTTCCCCATGGATTCAGGAGCAGTTGGGGTGTGCCAGGCACAGTTCCCCGTGGATTCAGGCAACTCAAATGCTAAAATGTGACTGTAATTGATGCAGAGGAAAATAAAAATGTGTGGTTGGTAGGGGGACAGAGCACAATGATCCCTCCCTTTCCTTCCTGCAGTTTGCATAAACCCTGAGGGTCAAGAAGGAACTTGGAACTGGACTTGGCTGTGGACGAGGACACGGAAACCAAACCACTCTTGCTTTGCCTTTGGGAATTGCAGCCTGGGCTCCCGGGCTCTCCCGTGCTGGGCACAGCCTGGGCTCTCCCTGCCCATGTCTGGAGCCAGGAGCTGGGTGGGAGCAGCCGTGGGCACCCCGGGAATGTGCTCCCAGTTCTCCCAGCAGAGCTCAGTGTCCCTGCTGCTCCTGCAGGGTTTGGGCACAGGGCTGCTTCTGTTACTGCTCTCAGATGATTCTCCTCTCACCCGTCAGCTCAGCTCAAAAACTCGGTTGAGCTCAGATTTATTTTAATTTGGCTGGAGATTTGCTTAAAAGCTTTTCCTTCTCTTGATACTTTTGCAACATTGAAGATAAGTGAAATCCAACACCTGGCAAATAACTTTCTAAAGAGGAATCTTTGTCATTTGAAGAAATCATGTGCTGTGGGAATGATTGGATCCTTTTAATTAAAATGTGCTTTTTCTTTCCTTGCATTTATTCCCATGTGCACGTGCTCCTTATGTTCAAAATCAGGGCATGGAGTGACCCTGGAGCTGTTGGGATTTTCCCGTGGGAAGGCAGGAGGGGATGGAGCTGAGGAAAGGCTGGAGCTGAGGCAGGACACTTCTGTACTGGCCACTCCCAGAATAACCTTCATTGCACAGAGGGATGAAATCCTGACAAAACCAAAGTGAAGGTGATCCCACCTAACCCTCCTCATTCCACAGCATCCCACACTGCTCTGGGTGGGAATGGGTCTCAAAGCCCACCCAGTGCCACCCCCTCAGGAGCAGCTCTGGCATGAGGCGGGGCCAGCTGTCCCAGCCCGTTAATGACTGCTAACGAGCTGGGGTTAATGAATTTCTGTCATTACTGTCAATCACAGCGGGGTAATTAACGCCCCTGAGGGTGCCGGGGTGGGATCGCAGCGTCCCCTCAGCCCGGCCCGCCGCGTGACGTCACGCGCCGCGCGCGCCGGTCTCGGCCAATCAGCGGCCGGCGGCGGATTCGAACGGCGGGGCGGCGGCGGCGGCCGTTGCGCGCGCGGCGGGGCCGGCAGGGGGCGCTGCGCTCCCCGGCTGAGGGGCGGCCATGGCCGGGCCGGGACCGGCGCCGGGACCGGGGCCGAACCCGGGGCCGTACCGCGCCACGAGGCTGGTGAGCACCGGGCGGGGCTGCCGCGGCACCGGGGGCGCGCCTGCTGCGGGGGGAGCGGGGCGCCCGTGGCACCCGTGCGAGCGCTGCGCGACGGGAGGTGGCTCTGCCCCTCGGGACCGCTGTCGCGACAGAGGGGACGGCGGGGCGCCCCGGGACCCTCCCACCTGCTGCCGTGACGGCGCTCAGGGACACCCCGGTCGCTGCCGTGACGGCGCTCAGGGACGCCCCGCTCGCTGCCGCGACCCGCGGGCGCCGGGCGCCTCTGCGCCGTGCCGGTTTTCTCGGTTCGCGGGTGCCCGGGGCCGCCTCGTGGCGGAGGCCGGGGGCGCCCCGCGCTCTGCCGCGACCCCGGCCGCTCGGGGACAGCCCGTGCCGCGGTACGCGGTGCCCGGCACCCCCGTTCCCTGCTCTCGGGGACAGCCCGTGCCGCGGTACGCGGTGCCCGGCACCCCCGTTCCCTGCTCTCGGGGACAGCCCGTGCCGCGGTACGCGGTGCCCTGCACCCCCGTTCCCCGCTCTCGGGGACAGCCCGTGCCGCGGTACGCGGTGCCCTGCACCCCCGTTCCCCGCGCTCTGCCGCGGCCCCGGGCGCTGCCACAGCCGCTCCGTGTCCCCGCAGTGGAACGAGGTGACGCGGCGCTTCCGCGCGGGGATGCCGCTGCGGCGGCACCGGCAGCGCCTCCGCTCGCACGGCGGCTGCTTCACGGCCGCCGAGGCCGCGGACTGGCTGCACCCGGTGCTCCGCAGCAGCAGCGGCTTCGGGCCCGACGTCACCCGGCAGCAGACGGTGCAGCTGCTGCGCAAGTTCCTCAAGAACCATGTCATCGAGGACATCAAGGGCCGCTGGGGCGCCGAAAACCTGGAGGACAACGGTGACCTGTACAGGTACGGAGCTTAAAGTGATCCCACGGTGCTGGGAAAAACGCCAGTCGCTTGGGTTTTTAGATTTTAAATGTTTAATAATAAAATTGTTATAAAAATAATAATACAGTTAGAGTTAGGACAATTACAAGACAGTAAAAAGCAAAGAATTACGGATGTTCAGAAGCTCTCGGACACTAAGTCAGAAAAAGCATCCCTTGTGAACAAAGGAATCACCTTAAACCAACACACTTGTTGTATATTCATACATCCTTCATGGTTATGCATACATTCTATTTAAAACAAGAAACTCTGTTTGTTGTATGTCAGCTGTTTCCTTTAATCCCTGCCGTCTTCAAGTCTGAGCAAGGCCTGAAGAAATCAGCTTCTTCTGATAAGAAGCCATAAATTCCTCTCCTTTGGAAGATTTAGGTGTTCCTCAAGTACCTCATTCCTAAAAAAAAAAAAACTTTCCCCACATACATAGTTTCTATTTTAACATTATGTTGGAACCTAAAACTAAATTTAACACACTACTTAAGAGAATTAATACAGCACAACCTTCCAACATCAGACATATAATATTCATTGTAATATTTGCAAAAAGCCAAGCATTTTTCACAATTGCCTTTGTTTTTAAAAGCGTTTTCTTTTATAGTTCTTTTGAAAGTTTTAAAGTTCTTTTAAAAGTTTGCCATGCCTTCTGATGTTTGCATATTTCTACTGGAGTTCTCACGCACTGTTCATGTAAATAATGATTGTTTTGCATTTTTCATTGTGGGAGGAGAGAATTGATGGGCTGTTGGTTTGACCAGTGTGGTTGGAAAAGTAATAACTCCATCCTCCAGTCCACGGTCACTTTTGGAACTCTATATATTGCGAGGTCAGAAATAAAATTTGCTCTTTTTCTCTCTTGAACTTACCAAGCTTCTGTGTGCTCATTTAGTGTCCAGGAGCAACACTCTGGTCTCTCAGGTTGAGGGTTTTAATGAAAAGTGCTCAGATTTGCAAAAAGAGCTTGCTTTGGGTTAAACATCTTGGGTAAAAAGTTAATTATTAGCATAATTTTGCTCCTCTGAGTGTTTTACTTCACTCCTGAGTGTGTCCATCCGAGGTTTTTGCTGGAATTCAATCTGCACTCCAGTGCTTTGGAGTGAAGCCAGGGTGTTTTGAGGGAGCTGCCTGCTGGGTTTGCTTCTCCTGGGCTCTTTACACAAGGTCTGAGTGGGAAACAGAGCCAAGCTCTGAAATCAAAGGTATTCATGGCCCCCACTTCTCATGGTCTGGGCTCAGGCTGTGCCAACGTCTTCAGCTTGACTTTGGCATCAAGAAAAACACCTAAAGCTAATTTATCATATGATAAATTAAAAGAAAAATCCTTTTTTTAGTGAATCTAAGAGTCACACTGGTATGGAGTCAGAGGTTTTGTTTTGTCAAGTAATTGATTTGATTACAGATCAATTAGGAATGCATTTAACATCTCTTCCATTCATTACAGATTTCCTCCAACCTCTCCAGTCAAACCTCTACCAAGCCCACCAAGGGAGAGCTTGGAAAACTTCTCTGGAGACAAAGGAAAACTTTTTAAGCTGCCCAGCTCATCCAAAAGGGGTTTGAAAAAACAAGAGTTCCTGCAGTCTGTGGTAATAACTTCTGTTCCTCACAGCATTGCAGTTGGCTTGCATTGTCTTTATTCCTTAAAATTTAGTGGCACTACTCTGTTATGGCATCTTCCCTTAAGAAAGAATAGTTCAGACTTAAGGAATTCAGAAATACTAAGAAAAAAATTATATGACAGGGGGTTTTATTTTGTTTTGGGTTTTCTTTGTTTTGTCTGAGTGGAGAATTATCCCTGCTAAGGGATTTTAAAGTATTGGGAGGGCTGGAAGGTGAAGAGGTGAAGTCCTAGAAATGATCTGCACAACATGGCCTTGTTGAAATTTAATTTATCTTTGGGGGAAAAATAAGAGGCACAAATAATTTAGTTTGTCATCTTTTGGAGAACATGGAATGCGTGTGTGGCCCTTGATTCAGCTGAGATTGGCATGCATAAAATCTGAATTTAGGTTCCAGTCCTAAAGGAGGATAATTCACATATTAATACATCTGGATTTGAGGCATTTTTACCTTTTAAATTGCTGATTTTGGATTGATCAGGGTTTTTTTCCCTTTCTTTTTAGTTGTGTGCTCCCATTTCATCGCTGAGGCTGCAGTTTTTCCCCCGGCTCATGTGGAATTTAATGTTCCACAGGATGCCCTGTTCTTCTAATTCCAATTTTCTCTAATTTTTAATTGCCTTAAGAAGCTTGTTTATCTTACAGTATCAACCACTCGTTTTCAGGAAAACATAGCAAGACCAAAAGCTGATGTAACAGGAGAAAAGAAGGAAAGCACAGTGCCGAGGAGGGAAATAAGCCAGGAATACGTGCAGGAAACATGGAGAAACATCATCCAGATTCAGTGAGTGAGGAATTCACACAGCACCTTCTCCTTTAGTGGGAAATAGCCCAAGCAAGCTTCCACCTTTTGGTTTTAACTATTAATTGTTTTAAGCTGAATTTTTCCTGTTGTTCACACAGGTTTTCTAATCTGTTTATGAACTTTGGATTGTTGCATTTAAGGAATTTCTGACCACGTGCTGGTGCAGAAATATATTTTAAACACCTCAGGTGCTCCTCCTTGCTGGTTGTGGCTGTTTGTCCCAGGGAAAAGTGTCCCCAGTTGTCCTCCTGGAAGTGAGAAGTTCTCCAACAGCACTTTAGCTCAGCCAGAGTTTTGGAATAGATATGGGAAGAACTTGTTTTCCTTCATCCCTTGCAAACCTCTGCTCTCTTCCTCCCCAGCTTGCAAACCATTCTGGGACTGCCCTCGTTGGAGGAGGTTCTGCAGCCAGCCCAGATCACCCCCGAGTTTGTCATGTACAACATGAGCAACACCAGCAAACACGGGGTGGTGATCCTGCAGGACAAAGCAGGTGACATTTATCTCCCTAGATTTGCTTCAAAATCTTTATTTATAAATAGTAATTCTTCTCTTTCACAGTGTGTTGTTTATATTTTTTTCCCAAACCACAGCACAGCTCAGGGACCTGAAATCCCATCCCACCCCTGCCATGGCAAGGACACCTTCCACTGTCCCAGGCTGCTCCAGCCTGGCCTTGGGCACTGCCAGGATCCAGGGGCAGCCACAGCTGCTCTGGGAATTCCATCCCAGCCAAAAATTCCTTCCCAATATCCCATCTAACCCTGCCCACCTTCAGCTTGAAATTATTCCCTTGTATCCTCTCAAAATTGCACGTGGAGCAGTATTTAAAATCAGTTTTAAATTTAATATGTTGTGCTTTAAGTGTTATTTAACATGTGTGAGCCATTATTAGTTGTTAATTATTTGGGCTCGTGTCTGAATGGTGCATTTATCTGTTTGGATTTCAGAAGACCTCCCTCACTGGGTGCTGTCAGCCATGAAGTGCTTGGCCTACTGTAAGTCACTGAAGAGCTTCCAAGTTCCAGGAGCCTCTTTTGAGAGTCGAAAGGGAAATATTTGTGTGTGTGAAATCGGCCGTGATGTTTCAGTTCAGAGACCTCTGGGTGGTTTCCTCTAATGCAGTTTTTCAGGAGTGAAGGGGACTTTGCTTTTCCAGTCCCTGGCTTTCAGCTGGACCAAAACATTTCCTACACTTCATATTAAAATGGGGAGATGCATTTTCTTTGGTTTGTAAACAATCAACTCTAAATTAATTAGATGAGTGCCTCTCTAATGAAACCAGAGATAATGAGCTTTTTTTTCCATGTGCTGAGCTTCCTTCTGCTCAAGGGGCTTGAACTCCCTGTGGGAGAACTGAGATCACTGTGCTTTGGAAATGAAGGGACATGCTAAGGGTGGGTGATTATTTTGCTGAGGACCCTATAAAGACCACAGATTATTTTTAATTTATTTTCTTGATGTGGAACAGAACTGAGCACAGCTCTTCAGTGGCTGCCTGGAATCTCTTACACTGCTTTTACTCACAAATTGTGCCAAATACAATATTTGTGGATTGCTGATAGGATTCTTTGCTTGTGAAACAAGAATAAATTTAGGCTGGTCTTCAAAACTTCATTTCCTAATGGGACTGTGGATTTTTGGTGTGAATTTCCTTTCTTCCCCTCTTTTCAGGGCCCAGGAACAATGACATGAGCCAAGCCACCTACAGTGGCTTTGAGCGGGACGTGTTCAGAACAGTTGCTGATTATTTTCTCAGTCTCCCTGAGCCATTGCTTACTTTTGAATACTATGAGCTCTTTGTTAATATCTTAGGTATGTATGAATTTAGAAACAGTCAGGGAAGCTCTGAGTTCAGATCAGCTGGGGGACAAATGGGTGATTCAAAGCAGAGCTTGGCCCTCTGATGTGTGTGGGAGCTCCAATCTGAGGAGGATCATCACTGCTCCATTTTGTATTAGTGTTAATTAAAGTGTACTTCTGCCTCACGATTTCCCATTTAAATTGCTGTTTCAGCTCACATTCTAAATATTCAGTAACAAAAACTTCAAAAGATGTGCTTGTTCTGCTTGCTCCTCACTGCTGCAGCGTTACCTGTCTTTGTTCTTGCATGTTAAATTGCTTTGGGACTGAACTAAAGCCTTCTTAATTAATATCTTGACTTTGTTGTCTGTCTGCCCAGTTAGCAGCTCTCTGAACTGGTTCATTTTCATACCACTTGCACTTTTAACATCTCTTTCATTTCCTGATAGTTTTGTGTGGCTGCATCCAAATTCCTGATCTGGGCAGTGGAAATCGTTCTGTCCAAGAGGAGAAATGTGACCCTCAGCCTTCAAAACCTCCTCACTTGAACTCTTTCAAGTCCACTGAGTGTCTTCTCCTAAGCCTGCTCCTCAAAGGGTCTGACAAGAAGGAGAAAGGAGAAGCTTCCAGGAGGTTTTCCTCAGAGGAGCTGAGAGCCCAAAACCAGCACAGGAAGAAACGTCAGCAAGGGAGTGCTGGGAACCTGATAGGAGGGAGCTGCCAGAATCTTGCAGCATCCAGGAATGACCAGGAGCCACCTGGAGCATTTAGGACAAGGTGTTACTCCTTGGAAAGAATTGGAGCTGCTGCTGCTTCAAGTGTGTGTGGTAAAGGAGGAGGTGTGAGCACCAGCAGGAGGAGCAGAGAGCTGCTGGAGGAGCACGGAGTGACCTCGGTGCTGGGGCTGGGCTGGGACAGCTCAGGTCCAGCCCAGGGCCTCAGGGGAGGGCCTGGCCCGTGTCCCTGGGCTGAGGAGCCGAGGGGTGGCAGCCGCGGGTCCCTGAGCCTGCTGGGCAGGAGGAGCTGCAGGAGCTGCAGTGCCATCAACAGACCCCGTGCTGAGATCACAGTGCAGCCCCTGCCCCGGGGGCAGGGCACACCCAGCCCCTCTGTGGCCATCAGCGTCCAAAGGAGACTCTGCAGGAGCAGCACAGACCTGTCAGGACGCTCTGCCCCCCCCTCCCCTTGTGTGTTGGCTGGCACAAGTAAGGGCTCTCTGCAGCATGCTGTACTGCCTTGTGTGGCCTCACTAATCCCTGCTTCCCTCACCTCTGCCACGCTTGCTAGCTTTGTGGGTAGGCACAGAGCATGGGGCTGTGGGGTTTTTAAAGAAAATCTGCTGGCTAAATTGTTTAAACTGCTGTAGCTCTGCTAACAGTGTGTAGTATCTTTGGAGTATGAGTGTCAGTAACTGGTCTTCCTGCTCAGGTAAGTGATGGGGACAGGGAATCTGCACACTCCTGCCTGTTGGCGATGTCTTTTTCTGTTCTGTAAATCAGTATTTGCTGGAAATACTTCTGGGAATAATTAGTGTCATTCCTTAATTGTATTGTGGTCCTAATTGCACCATAATGAAGTTGAAAATGACCTCACAATATTCTGTATATTCTCTTCTGTGTAACAGCTGATTTCTCTGAAACATAAATAATCACACCAAAAAACAAGAATTCTGTGACACTGAGGTAAAAACATGCTGGGAGCTGGTTCAGATCTTAATGCCAGTTCTCTGTGGTTAACTTGCAGATCTCCTGCAGCCCCACCTGGAGAGAATTGCAGTGGAAGCCCTGCAGATCTGCTGTTTGCTGCTGCCCCCGCCGAGGCGCAGGAAGCTGCAGCTGCTGCTGAGGATGGTGGCCAGGATCAGTGGCAACGTGGACATGCCACGGCTGCACGATGCCATGGGCAACAGGTCCTTGGTAAGGGCAGGGAAAGCTCTTCTTAAAAGGATGCAGATGATTCCTCAGCCCGATTTCCCAGCCAGCTGCTATTTAAAATCCCAGACTGGACTGGGAGGGACCTTAAAGCCCAGTTCACTCCAGTTTAATGCTGTGTGCATTAGGGCTGGGCTAGGTTGGCTCTGCAGGTTTAAATCACCTCACTCATCTCAAGATGACCAATTGAAGATTCAGGTTTAGATCAGAAGTAGGAAGAAATTCTTTATTCAGAGGCTGGGCAGCCCTGGCACTGGTGCCCAGAGCAGCTGTGGCTGCCCCTGCATCCCTGGCAGTGCCCAAGGCCAGGCTGGACAGGTCTTGGAGCACCTGGGACAGTGAAGGTGTCCCTGCCTCAACCCAAACCATTCCAGGATTCTATTCTACAGTTTTGTGAAAATGTTAATTTTTCTATAGGTTAAGCCTTTTTCTGCTACTTTTTTACATTATGTATTTTTAATTGAAAGTTCTGTTCAGTTCCAAAGAAATTAAGTCAGATGAGGGAACAATGATGACTTTTCCTGCTTGTGTGACCACACTTGGAAGTTGGCTATGGGGGGTTTGAGCCACTGTAGAGTGGAGAGGAGAAGATAAATCCCCCAGCTTTCTGCAGTGCAGCTGTGCTGAACTTTTCCAGCTGATCCAGACGTTTTCCCGCTGTGTCCTGCGCTGTGCAGAGGAGGAAGACCTGGATGAGCTGCTTTCCACACGCCTGCTTTCCTTCCTGATGGACCATCAGCAGGAAATATTCCAAGTCCCAGTTTACCTGCAGGTTGCTGTGCAGGATCACCTCAAGTACATGGAGAAGGCTCAGGTTGGTGCTGTGAGAGCAGTTCAGATTCATTTGTTAATTGCTTCTTCTGAAGTTGGGGAAATGCAAATGAACCCAGGACATTTTGAATGTGTAGCTATTAATTATAATGTTTTGCAGCTTGTAAGTGGGTGTGGGTGTTTATTAGGTACTTACTCAAGCAGTACAGAATCAGTTGAGTGCATGCAGAGCCCTTTTTCTTCCAGTGCAAACAGGAAAAAGAAGAAATTTGTGCCATCTTGCCAACGTATTCCTACTGCAAACAAATCACTCCTCAGGAGTTTGAAGAACAAAAGGTCTCCACCTCACAGGCTGCAGTGGCAGAGCTGCTGGAGAACATCATACAGGATAAAAACCTCTCTGTGAAAGACAAAAAGAAAAAGTTGAAACAGGTGAGTTAATTTAATCTGCATCTGCAGTGCCTTTGTGAGGGAAGGGCCCAGGCAGGAGAGGAGCAGAATGTGCTGAGAAATGTTTGTGCTCAAGAGCTGTCAAGTGCTTCATGTGCTCTGCTTGGGATTTGAAAGATGGTTTTTAATGCTGCATCCACTGGAGCCAGGCTGGGAGAGCTGGGGGGGCTCCCCTGGAGAGGAGAAGGATCCAGGGAGAGCTCAGAGCCCCTGGGAATGTTCCCCTGGAGAGGAGAAGGATCCAGGGAGAGCTCAGAGCCCCTG